ATCCCTTTTTTTAGAAGATAACTTTAACAGGTTTTAATGGATTTAGATAAAATTTGGTAGGCTCATTTATTATATTAATACAGGGACTATCTCGAAATATTTGTGTCGTGTCGTGTCCGTGTAGTGTCGCGACTCGACACGTTTGAAAACAATTAAAAGTATCGTGGCGAGACCCGACACTTTTAAAAATTTTCAAACGTATCGTGGCACGACCCGACACAGTTAAAAATTCATAATTGTATCGTGGCGAAGCACGATACGTTTAGAAATTTGTAATCGTATCGTGGCAGGACTGGAAACGTTTACGAATTTCCAAAAGTATCGTGGCGCGACTAGGCACAATAAAAATTTGAGAATCGTATCGTGGGGCTGAACTACACGACACAATACAAAAATAATTATGAATATCGTGTCGCATACAATGAAACTTGTTGATTAACATTTTGACAGTTTATTAATCCTTCAATAACATTTCAAGAAATAAAATTAAAATAAAATAGATATAGATTGAATATATATCAAATGTAAATTATTAAATTTATATTATATTATATTATATTATATTATATTATATTATATTATATTATATTATATTATATTATATTATATTATATTATATTATATTATATTATATTATATTATATTATATTATATTATATTATATTATATTATATTATATTATATTATATTATATTATATTATATTATATTATATTATATTATATTATATTATATTATATTATATTATATTATATTATATTATATTATATTATATTATATTATATTATATTATATTATATTATATTATATTATATTATATTATATTATATTATATTATATTATATTATATTATATTATATTAGAATTTGAGATTCTTTCGATTATTGGAAGCAATAAATGAAACACCAAATTATTTATTCGGCAACGTATCGGTGTCTTGGTTTGACACCATCATCAGGCCACTTTATTAAACCAAAATTAGAAATTAATTATTCACAAACTTATTAGAACTTCACATAAAAAATTGAAGAATAAAAAAATAAATAAATAAATACCTTGTTCAATTAAAATTAAAGTTATTTGGTTACATTAGTAATAAGTCTAAAATTTTTTTTCCTCTAAAAATTAAATTCGAATAGACGATGTCATTCATCGCAAAGCAAAATAAAAACTGACATAAGAAGGTGACAATTCGTAGATTTTATACACGACACGTGCAGTCAATGAACTCTGATCAAAACAAAAGAGATAAAATCATTCCTTCAATTTTCTTAATAGAGGGAAATATGTATTGCTAAGAAACTGAATATCTTCCTTTTTATTAATAGTATTACTATTATTTTTAATGTGTAACATTTCTGAAATAATTCTTTTTTTATAAATAGGTTCAACGTCCAAGATTTTAACTTCATCAAAATTGAAAGAATGATTGTAAATAGAGCGATGTTCATTCACAACAGATTCAATGTTTTTATTTTTATGTTCTTTAATTCGTTTTTCCAAACTGCGTTTCGATTCGCCGATGTAAGTAGCGGAGCAATTGTTACAATTAAACTTATAAACAATACCAGTTTGGTTCCATTTTTTTGTTTGGTCTTTGCCCAATTTTATAACAGAACTTAGGTTTTTGTTAACCTTAGGAATTGACAGAAAATTATAATCTTTTAATATATTTGAGAGTTGCATATAATTGTTATTAAAAGGAATGTTAACTTTTGACATACGACCATAGATCGATGATTTATTATTAATTTGTTTATTGTCGGAAGTAATTGATTTTAATTTACATGATCTTGCTTTTAGATTTTTATTAATAAATTCCAGAGGATAATCGTTCTGAAGAAGAATCTGTGTAACCTTCTCAATATTATCATTATGAAAAGAGTCATGTGATAACAATATAGCTCTATCCAACAAATTAAAAATAGTATTTCTCTTTTGTTGAATTGGATGACAAGAAAAATAATTAATCAATCTATTAGAAGATTGAGGCTTTTGAAACCAATTGGTAATAAGATGGTTATTTTCTTTAATTAATGTCATGTCAAGAAAATTAATCTGGTTATTTGATTCTAATTCAGAAGTAAACTTCAAACTACAATTATATGAATTAAAAATATCAATTACAATATTCACATGATTCTCATGTACACACGAGAATCATGTGAATATTGTAATTGATATTTTTAATTCATATAATTGTAGTTTGAAGTTTACTTCTGAATTAGAATCAAATAACCAGATTAATTTTCTTGACATGACATTAATTAAAGAAAATAACCATCTTATTACCAATTGGTTTCAAAAGCCTCAATCTTCTAATAGATTGATTAATTATTTTTCTTGTCATCCAATTCAACAAAAGAGAAATACTATTTTTAATTTGTTGGATAGAGCTATATTGTTATCACATGACTCTTTTCATAATGATAATATTGAGAAGGTTACACAGATTCTTCTTCAGAACGATTATCCTCTGGAATTTATTAATAAAAATCTAAAAGCAAGATCATGTAAATTAAAATCAATTACTTCCGACAATAAACAAATTAATAATAAATCATCGATCTATGGTCGTATGTCAAAAGTTAACATTCCTTTTAATAACAATTATATGCAACTCTCAAATATATTAAAAGATTATAATTTTCTGTCAATTCCTAAGGTTAACAAAAACCTAAGTTCTGTTATAAAATTGGGCAAAGACCAAACAAAAAAATGGAACCAAACTGGTATTGTTTATAAGTTTAATTGTAACAATTGCTCCGCTACTTACATCGGCGAATCGAAACGCAGTTTGGAAAAACGAATTAAAGAACATAAAAATAAAAACATTGAATCTGTTGTGAATGAACATCGCTCTATTTACAATCATTCTTTCAATTTTGATGAAGTTAAAATCTTGGACGTTGAACCTATTTATAAAAAAAGAATTATTTCAGAAATGTTACACATTAAAAATAATAGTAATACTATTAATAAAAAGGAAGATATTCAGTTTCTTAGCAATACATATTTCCCTCTATTAAGAAAATTGAAGGAATGATTTTATCTCTTTTGTTTTGATCAGAGTTCATTGACTGCACGTGTCGTGTATAAAATCTACGAATTGTCACCTTCTTATGTCAGTTTTTATTTTGCTTTGCGATGAATGACATCGTCTATTCGAATTTAATTTTTAGAGGAAAAAAAATTTTAGACTTATTACTAATGTAACCAAATAACTTTAATTTTAATTGAACAAGGTATTTATTTATTTATTTTTTTATTCTTCAATTTTTTATGTGAAGTTCTAATAAGTTTGTGAATAATTAATTTCTAATTTTGGTTTAATAAAGTGGCCTGATGATGGTGTCAAACCAAGACACCGATACGTTGCCGAATAAATAATTTGGTGTTTCATTTATTGCTTCCAATAATCGAAAGAATCTCAAATTCTAATATAAAATAATGGAAGGAAAAAACATTTTACATTATATTATATTATATTATATTATATTATATTATATTATATTATATTATATTATTTCCACGAATTTCTGTTTTCATCCTATACTGTTTATTTTCATGTATTTCTTTTTGTATTATCAACAACTTATTGTCTAGTATGTAAACAAACCACACTTAAAATTATAAATAATTTTGTTCAATAAAATTAATAGATTAATTTAATTTATTAACGTTTTAATATTATTATGATTTAAAGAATTGAAAAAAATGTAAGACTTGATTACGAATTCAATATCAGTTTTTTAAAATTCAAAATGGCGGATCCAATATACCGAATCAAAATAACTAAAAATGGGCAAATTCGTCTAAACCATGTTACCCAGGGGTTTTCGGGGTCGCTGATTACGAATCTGACATCAGTTTTTCAAAGTTCAAAATGGCGGATCCAATATGGCGGAAGACAAAATAAAAAATTAATCGGATTGTATTAAAAACCTATTACTCGGGGGTTTTCAGGGTCGTTGATTACGAATTGTCACAAAAGTTTTTTAAAATTCAAAATGGCGGATCCAATATGGCGGACGACAAAATAAATAATTAATCGGATTGGATTGAAACCGGTTACTGAGGGGTTTTCAGGGTCGCTGATTACGAATGTAACATCAGTTTTTTAATATTCAAAGTGGCGGATCTAATATGCTGAACAATTTTTTAAAAAGGATCGGATCTTTTGAAACTTGTTACTCGAGCGTTTTTGGGACATTTTGAATTTTGAAAAGCTGATATTGAATTCGTAATCAAGTCTTACATTTTTTTCAATTCTTTAAATCATAATAATATTAAAACGTTAATAAATTAAATTAATCTATTAATTTTATTGAACAAAATTATTTTTAATTTTAAGTGTGGTTTGTTTACATACTAGACAATAAGTTGTTGATAATACAAAAAGAAATACATGAAAATAAACAGTATAGGATGAAAACAGAAATTCATGGAAATAATATAATATAATATGTGCGATTCCAAGTGAGATTTTGACTTTTTCGGAGTAGGTTATCCGATTGCAATGAAACTTTGGAATTTTGTTATATATAGTAAGACTAATCTTTAACGTAAATTTCAGCCTAAAATATTTGTTAGTTTACGAGATTTGCAATAATAACAAAAAATTTAAAACTGCTATATCTTCCGTTCTAATAAACGGATTGAGGTCTACTTTTTTTTAAAATGTCAAGGAAAATGAGAGGAATAAATCTCTTTCAGAACATTTTTTTATAATTTTACAACTAAAAAAATTATTAAATAATAATTGAATAACTTTCGCGCGACTAACTAAAATTCAATCACTTAAACGCTAAAATGATCTTACCTGTGTTTTCTTTAATGTTCCAAAGGATTTTTATTGTAAATGTAAGTTTAACTTAAGAAATTTTATTAATTTATTAGTATAAACAATTGAGATTTCTGCTAGTTGACGTGCAGACGACATTGCGCACGCAGCATTCTCACATAGCCAATTTAGTCCACGCATCACGTCAGTTGGCTATGTGAGAATGCTGCGTGCGCAATGTCGTCTGTACGTCAACTAGCAGAAATCTCAATTGTTTATACTAATAAATTAATAAAATTTCTTAAGTTAAACTTACATTTACAATAAAAATCCTTTGGAACATTAAAGAAAACACAGGTAAGATCATTTTAGCGTTTAAGTGATTGAATTTTAGTTAGTCGCGCGAAAGTTATTCAATTATTATTTAATAATTTTTTTAGTTGTAAAATTATAAAAAAATGTTCTGAAAGAGATTTATTCCTCTCATTTTCCTTGACATTTTAAAAAAAAGTAGACCTCAATCCGTTTATTAGAACGGAAGATATAGCAGTTTTAAATTTTTTGTTATTATTGCAAATCTCGTAAACTAACAAATATTTTAGGCTGAAATTTACGTTAAAGATTAGTCTTACTATATATAACAAAATTCCAAAGTTTCATTGCAATCGGTTAACCTACTCCGAAAAAGTCAAAATCTCACTTGGAATCGCACATATTATATAAATTTAATATAATATAATATAAAAAATTATATATTATTGTATATTATTTTATATGTTATTATATTATATATATTATTATAATTATTTATTATATATTATTATTATTAGTATTATTATTATTCCATGTATACTATATTATAATAGATAATACATAATAGATAAGTTTCAATTAATTGAACAATTTTTTTTCATGCGACACGTCATATTTATGCAGAATTATCGTGTCGTGGCAAGTCATGATACGATACGATTCTCAAATTGTTAATGTGTCTAGTCGCGCCACGATACTTTTGGAAATTCGTAAACGTGTCCAGTCCTGCCACGATACGATTACAAATTTCTAAACGTATCGTGCTTCGCGACGATACAATTATGAATTTTTAACTGTGTCGGGTCGTGCCACAATACGTTTGAAAATTTTTAAAAGTGTCGGGTCTCGCCACGATACTTTTAATTGTTTTCAAACGTGTCGAGTCGCGACACTACACGACACTTTCTTAAAATTCAACAACATTTCGTGTCCGAGACAGTCCCTGTATTAATATCTTAAATCTGACCAAAGGATTTTGAAAAATACCCCAAAATAAAAATTTTATTGTCTTTTTTCCAAAAAATTTTTTTTAATCGAAAAAATTTTTAAATAGGAAAACTAAAGGTTATATATAATAAAATCGTATTCCTTACGTCAAGACGAATCGATCGATATATATAAAGTATACATTTGACGTAAATTTAAAGAATTAATGAAAGTTAAAAAATCAAAAATTCACATTTTGGCTATAAATTTTGTGATTTTTTATATTGAATTTTATATATGAAATAATTGTATTCCTTACGTCAAGACGAATCGATCGATATATATATATATATATATATATATATATATAAATTATTCATTTGAGGTAAATTTAAAGACTTAATGAAAGTTAAAAAATTAAAAATTCACATTTTGGCAATAAAATTTTGCTTTCTCCACGAGGAAGCAAAATTTTTTTGCTGATCTTAAAAAGGAAGCAAAATGTTCATGTAATGAACATCTGAATTTACAACTTGTTTTATGTTTTATTGTCTAGAATAAACCTTTATGAAGAGATTCTCGTTTGAATTTATTTATTACTGGTTGTCCGGAATTAAATTCATAAAAAAAGATACCTTCTGTAAGACGCGACCTACAACTACGAAATTGAACTAAATAGTCTCAAACATTTTTTTTTAATTTTTCTCTACGTATTGTGCAACAATGGCCAAAAAGAATTCTTGCAATTTCTTTAATACTTTTCTTACAATAAAAGTTTAAAAACGTGTCTTTATTGTCAATTCTATACCATAGAAAGTCCCCTTAAATCCCAGAACTATTTAAGTTGGAAGATAATCAAAAATAGTATAGAATCCGTTCAAAATCAGTTTCCAAGTCAGTGCGAGCTAATTTTAAATATTTTTCAGGTAAATGGCCACCTAACGGTAAATGAAAATTTTGTAGACAATCTAGAAATGAAATTTGCATATTCAACATAGGGTAAATGCACCAGTGGTGGATCAGGCACCAATGGTGGATCAACAGCGTTAAAAAGGTTAAAATAAGCTATTTCTAATTGAACTAAATGTTTCAATCGTTTAGGGGAGGTGTATAGATAAGTTTTATGAAATAAAATCATTTGAAAATATTTAGGAAAACAAAGCAATACAACAATTGTTGATTTTATGCTTTTTCACATGAAATCTTAAAAAATAATTGTTTAGTCTAAATTTTTTTAATTTTTAGAGTAGAAAGTAATCAATTCTTTCCATATAGAATACTTTTGGAAAAAAATTTACATCATTAAGTTATTTTTGTGTAGTGTAAAGGGGTAAATGATCCACGACTGGAGCAATGTCATTTTATTGTTGAATGTGGGTGTGAGGGGGTGTAAACGTTACAAGCATGTCGAAAACTACACGATAGTGTCCTTGAAGACTTGTTAATTCATACTATTGTAAAGATTACCCTATATTTTTCATCTGAAAAAAACTGTACACCTTTAAAGTCAAAATTATAAATTTAGTAGGCTTAATTGATCCACCACTGGTGCAGTTACCCTATAATAAATATGTGGAAAAGCATGGTCCCGAATTGTTGTTATCTAAAGTTAATTTTACATGTCAGCTTTTTTGGATTAGTTTTGCCCAATCTTACTGCCATAATTATTCAACAGAAAATTTGCTTGATAGTGTAAAAGACACGCATCCATCCTCCTTCCGAGTTTCAAATTTTAGGTTCCATTTCAAAGGAACCAGTATTAGCTGAAGATTTTCACTGTGAAAAAGGTACGAAAATGAATTCTGAAATTAAATGTTCCTTTCTATAATTTTTTCTAAATGTATCCAACATTGATAATCTCATAATAATTAAAATAATTATACATTATTCATTTTATGAGTTCTCGTTAATTCTAAGTTGCCTGAATTAATTGTAAGCAAGTTTGCCTTCAGTATTATCTCTACCACTGTTACCACTGTTACTGTTATCAGTCTAAATCAGTATTATATTCTTCAATAGTTTCTTGTATATATAAATAGACATTTTTAAATTTCGTCGTTTTTCAGACATCTGACCTATTGCTGTTCCTGTGTCATCTGTTGACACATACGTAACATCCTGATCCCAAAATTTTAAGCTACTAATCGCAAAAGCATCAATAATGAGACCATTGAGACAACCTCCTTTATTGCTTACTGTTTGAAATTCCTGACACGTAATTATTATTTCCTTTGCTGTTGTTGCCAAATCTTGACGAACTTCAAATCTCCCTACACCAATCTTATTTGAATTAGATGAACAATAATATTTGATATCATTTATCAAACCGTTCTCCAAAAATTGAATATTACTTAAGTTTTTAATATCTTCTTCACATTTAATTACTTTCTTATCACTACTTTCTATGCCACTTTTATTTTCTTTTTGTCGTTGTACCAGTGAAGAATTATATTTTCTTTTTCTATTTGTAGAATCAGTAACAATATCATTTATTTCCTCTTCTGATGAAGAGGTTTCTTCCTGCAATTCAGCTTCTGATGATGTAGTAGACATTTTTCTCTTCCTCTTCGTCTCAACTAAAACATCATCTAAACGTAAAAATTTTTTTCCTTTCGATGTTGGAATTTTTACTTTTGAACCTTTTACTTTCTTTTCTATTTCCTTCCTATCTTTAATATGGACATCTGCTACTTTAGTGGCTATTTTCCTAATTTCTAAACTGTCCAAATGAGTTTCCTTCTTTCTAGAGGCTCTTGTATTTTTCTTCCATGTATCCTGTAAGAAAGGATTGCTTTCCGTATCAGGATAGAAAGGTTTACTTTTTTTATGCAAATTACTTTCCCTTCCTATACTTGTCCCCAAATGTGCTTCTTCTATTAAATCTTTAAGATTTTCTTTTAATTTTCGTATCACAACTCCAATTTTTAATTTCTTTTGGCCGTCCAGCACATCTTGTTTAATAACTTTATTAAACGCTTCGACATAAGCGTTACTCACACGAGATATATTTTTATCAATTATATCTAACATGAGAGCTCCACAAATTGATATATATGGCATAAATTCCAAAACAATGTATTTCAAGAATTCAGGGGCATAGAAATTATTATTTATTTCCTCATCAATTAAAAGCTCACTCTTTAAGGCCTCTTCAATTGCTGTATATTTAGTATAATATCTTTTGAAGAAGGGTGAATTCGTGTAAATCGCTTTACTTGCTTTATAAACATATTCAAATTCGACTTCTATTTTCATTTCAGTCCGTAATTTATCAATGAAATCATAATCTTCGTTTACTTTCAACATTAATTTTTCTTCTGTAATCATCGCTCCAGTAAGAACTTCAAGTGATTTTGTTGCAGTTTCTTTATTTTTTGTTAATAGAATTGTAGCTAAATCTTCAAAAATGGTGTCCAAATCTACAATATTCCTACAAAGCAACAATAACCCGAAGCAGTCTAATAACATTTTCTTATTGTTCTCACATTCTGGAAATTTTTTTTTATTGCTGTTGAAACCCGATGCATGACATGAGCTACGCATGTCAGTAAAATAGTCAAATTAGAAAGTTTCCCTACTTTTCCCTCTGTAACATAATCATAAGTTAATTTAATATATTCATCCATCAGGATTTCATTCCATTCATACGAAATTGCATTCATTGATGCCCAAGACCAGTCAACAACAATGGCTTTGAATAATGGCCATTTTTTTGCTTCCTTCATTACAAAAAATTTGTATGTTTTTAAAAAACCACCAATACTTTTCGCATTTTTTTCGCAAGTTATAAATTCTGCTGCAGGCATTACCGATTCAGGAAGTCTACATACGATACAATAATAATCTATTCTTGATGACTTACATGGTTTCCGTATTATTGATCCCGTTGAATCCATGTGAACAATTTGGACATTATGTTCACTTATTACTTCGAGTTGTTCTTTTGTGAACATAATTGCCTTGGTAGGTAACCCTACCTCCCGTAAATAAGGATCGCTGCCTTCATTTTCTTTAATCCATAATTGAAAGAAATCTTGCAGTGTTTCACTTAATTTGAGTCGATTTTCTTTTGCTGCTTCAGAACTTATTTTGTAAATTGTATCGATGTTTACAACTTT